TATTTGTGAGGTATAAAAAATTCTAAAGTTGCATATAATATGATCCGGAGATTGTACAACTTTGCAGCATGTTCATTGAAATTTGTGCGTTTCTGTGGAGTTAATATTCAACTCTTAGAATTCTTTTAGCAATGAATCAAGGATCCCAATTTGATTTAAGGCATATCAGGGGTGGCCTAGTCCCCTTCATGTGAAGTAGAATAGATTTGGTTTCTTTTTCTTTAGTAGGCTGCATAATCAGTAGACACTCTGTAAAAGTTCTTATACGTTGTTGCAATTATACGCAGTTTATTGGCAATCTGTTTGACTCATCAAACTAAGTACCCACCTCTGCGTAAATAATGCATCATATTTTTTTACACCAATATAGTTTTAATTTACTACTCTAAGGTATCAATAAGGGAAATACGAAGTGGCCTATTCTATTGGGAGGTTGTATCTTGCCATACAATCATTATTTTGACTTTGGTGCTTTTTAACAGGTCTTATGCTAACAGTTGTTTTATCGATCTATATTCTGCAATCTTCTAAAGAGAAGATAGCAAGGTACAATATCCTGCTTCGTTTTGATTTACAGTCACTGAGATTATAAATGCTTCAAAATTTATTCATCATCTCTAAAACGATGTCCTCACGTTGTAGTTTGATATCTGTTATGATTTTCCAGGTTTGTGAGAGAAACTGTTGCAGATAACAATATGGCAGGTGGAGTGGAGAAAGTCGAATAATGGAAATCTCAAAGAATTATACTTCATAGCTGTAGTTTTATCTGTTGTTAGCAATTCCTGTGGTTGTAAATCTTCGACATGGTTATGCTTAAAAGATGTCGCACCTTACAGGGATATGTATAAAATTATAGTAGCTGAGATAAATTTACTTAATTTTCAGTTCTCCTTAGTATCATTTGAACAAAATCTGTCGCCCAAAAAGCCTGATTGACAATTACTCAAATTGTATGCAAGCTAATCCGAGTCATTAGCACTAATTTCACTGATTCTATGCAAGCGTAAAAAAAAAAAATACAGAATTTTTTTTTTTCCTACTACATTTGGATTAATGTAAAATGGAGCAAGTAAATTAGAACACCCAAATTAAGAAACCCTACCTCAACACATTACTCAAACCAATACCTTGCCAAACCCTCTTATTTTTTTTAGGATAATTTGCCAATTACTAACGTAAGTTAACACCACTTTGTAAATTGCTACCGTAAATTAAAAAAGTTGTGAATTACTATCGCAAAATTTTTTGAGATGTTGCGATTATTACCAAACCCCCATTAAACCCAACTATGACGTTATTATATCCCTTTAACCCGTGTTTGACCATGGTTAAGGGCTTTAACCAGCCCCCCTAAAAAAGAAAATGGTTTAGGGATATAATGACGTCATGGTTAAGGGCTTTAACCATGGGTTAAAGTGATATAATGACGTCATAATTTGGTTTAATGGGCGTTTGGTAGTAATTGCAACATCTTAAAATTTTTTGCGGTAGTAATTCACTACCTTTTCAATTTGCGATAGTAATTTACAAAGTAGTATTAACTTGCGGTAATAATTGGCAATTTTTTTTTTTTTTAAATAATGTTTTGACCTGATCCAAACATTTACCACTACTTTAAACGATACTGCTGAACAAGGCTTTAATAAAAACCTTCAATCTTGTCTTCTCAAAATTATAAGTGTGGATCATTATAACAAAGAAGTTAGTTAAAAAATACTGTAGTACTTCGTAATATGTTTCCAAAAAGATAAAGTATTTATTTAATATACTCTTTTCGTATTTTATTAATGTACTTGCTTCATTTTGTATTTGCGGAGTTTTACAAGAAATAGTAGAAAATAATAAAATATGAAGAAAGTGGAGTTGGTGGAAGAATAAAGTTTGATAGTTGAGAGGAAAGAGAATGTAGACACTCGTACTCCCTTCGTTTCTTTTTAGTTGCAACACTTTTTTATTTTGGAAAATTTTAATTACTTGCAACACTTTTCATTTTTGACATTTCTTTCTCCTTATCTCTCTCTTACCCACATGGATCCCTCTTATTTTTCTCTCTATCTATCTCTTCTTAAAAAATTGCTTAGGAGAACGTGAATTTAAAAATGTTACAACTAAAAAAAACATAAGAAATATATTAGAAGAAATTAGTTAAAGGTTTTCAAAAAAGAAAATGTAACAAATAATAAAATAAAACCGTAAAATAAAAGTGGAACAAGTAATAAAATACATAAAGAGTACCAATTACTTAAAAAAGCAGAGAGAGTACCGCCAGTACCGTTGCTCCGCGTTTTGTATCCATGAGATAAATGACTTACTCATACGTAGGGCTGCTAATTGAGTTGAGCAGCTCGTGAGCAACTCAGACTCAACTCGGTCAAAGCTCGGCTCGAGTTGGCTCGACTCGAGATGTTAACGAGCACGAGTTGAGCAAGTTCTAACTCGACTCGATAAACTCGTGAACCACTCAATAATATATTTTATTAATATAGAATTTACAAACAAAATTGTTACCATGAACAAGTTTGAAACTTAATAAGAGTTAATATATATTATAAAAAAAAGAGTAAATCTTTAATAATAAATAAAAGAAAACTATATAAAGTGAAAAAAACAATAAAGGGCTTTAATTTTAAAAGGGCTAAAACTTTAACGAGCAAATTGTGAGCTACTTGACTCGACTCGAAATTTTAACGAGCACGAGTCGAGCAAATTTTATTGGCTCGAAACTTTAACGAGCACGAGTTGAGCACATGAAAAAAGTTTTCGAGTTGAGTCGAGTCGAGTACCCCTTAACTCGTAATCGACTCGCTCGATTAGCACCACTACTCATACAATTTTTACAATACAGACAAACAGTACAGGTAGCTAAACGTGGAAGCGAGATTTGCCAAATTTGACTTACATGTGTTCGATTTAATAAATGATATTGGGAAAGATTGAATTTGGGAATTGGGACATCAAGTAAAGTTAAGTTAACCCACCAACTACAAAGTATCACCCATCATCGTAATTATTGTTGTTACAGGAGTATTAATTTATCATTATCATGTTTGAGCTGTCCATTTGGATATTAAAAAAGGGTTTGTTATTAATAGGATCAACGTTATTTTTATCATTATCATGTTTGAGCTGTAGGGGTGTCCATTCGGTTAACGGTTTGGATTTAGTCTAAATCCGATCCAATTCGAAATATAATTCGATTTTCAATTTTCCACTCTGATCCGATCCGAATTTCTATCTTGATCCAATCCGAATTAAAATTCGGTTATTTGGATCCGATCCGAAAATCCGAATTATAATATATTATTTTTTAGTGCCTAATACAATTATATATAAAAAAAGATTTACTATAGATAAAAGTCTTCAAAATCATGATTAAAATATATAGTTCAACGTCAAGTCATTAATTAATTACGGAGTAATACAAAGTCTCTCTAATTTATTTTATGTAGTAGTAAGTATTTGAGCAAAACTTCAAAATATACAGAAATCCATATTTATACAAGCTTAATTTTACAATTCGGTTTTCGGTTTGGATTGGATCCAATTAGGGTCAATTCGATCCAATCTGAAAATCCGAATTTCCATAAAATCTCAATCCGATCCGATCCGATCCGATTTAAAGTTCGGATTCGATCCAAATAGATAATTCGGTTTGGATTGAATTGAATTTCGGGTTTTATTCGAGTTATGGACACCCCTATTGAGCTGTACATTTAGATACTGGTATTAAAATAGGATCATGATTCATTCATTCGATATATATAGCCTCTAAGTTGGGTTCAAGTTTCAATAGAGTCAGATTTCATTTGGTATAACAAAAGGTGTCCCCCTTATTCCAACAAAATTAATAACTTATTAACTTATATTATAATTTTTTATTTATTTATCATAGCATAGAAACCAACGCGAATATTAATTATAGATTTATAATTGAGTCAAAAATTTTCATGAAGCCCCACCGTGTGGTTGGGGTTACTTATTTAGGGGTTATTTATTATGGGACTACTCGATCGGTAGGGGTTACTCGGTCGGTTAGGGGTTACTCGGTCGGTCAGGGGTTACTCTCACGCAGAAAACGCGCTAACCGACTAAGTAACCACAGAATAAGTAAACCTTTGACCGACCGTGTAACCTTTAAATAAGTAATCTCGGCCGCATGGTGTGGCCAGCCACACATAAATAATGTCTACACATATTGGTAAATTAATAGTTCATAAATATTCTATATCTTAGACTCTTTGTCTCAAACTCTCTACCCTCGTTCGAGTGCAACTTCACCCCTGAGGTTCACTAATTTTCATAGCCATGTCTTTCCCTCTTGCACTACTCACACCGCCGCGCTCATACCAGTGTGCGACACCCTTCGCCGCCCCTCGATGCTATGTGCTCCCTTCCTAAAATACCAGAGTTTTGTGGCCAAATGTGATTACCGACGACAAAGTTCTTACTCCCCGACCAACACATCCAAAGGAGCAACATCTTCTCAAGAAATTGTAGATGTAAAGGCAGATAAGCATAGACCTCTTGGTCATTTTCCCCCGGACATATGGGGTGACCGCTTCGACAACTTCACTCTTGAACACTTATCGGTATTACTCTTTGTGTCCAACACTTGATCCTACACGATATATATACATATTTTTGAGCATCTAAATATTATACTACCTCCGGTCCAAATTACTAGCAACTTTGGGGTATTATTTGTGAGATATAAAATATTCCAAAGTTGCGAGTAATTTGAACCGGAGATAATATTATACTTAAAAAAAACACCTATTAAAATCTTATACTATTCCCTCCGTTCTTTTTTACTCTTTTCATTTGAATGATTGACATTATTTATAAGTTATGGAGGGTCTTACTTGATCTGTGTCAATAAGTAATTAATTTATGAAGTATAAATTTTCAATTGATATAATTTTACCATAATTTTTTTAAAGATATTTTACAAATTGATGTGATTCTAACGATTTTAATTTTTTAATTTTTTTTAGAGGATGGATGAATATGCAAAAGAAATCAAGCCACTGAAGGATGAAGTGCGATTAATACTAATGGATAATTCTACCGATCTGCCCCAGAAGATGCGTTTGATTGATGTTGTGGAACGTTTAGGGTTTCCCTATTACTTTGAGAATGAAATCAAAGAATTATTAAAAAAGTTTTATACACAACTTAAGAAAAGTAATTTTGTTATGGCCTATGATTTATCTGATACTGCATCGTTTTTTCGAATTTTCAGGCAACATGGATATAGTATGCCTTGTGGTAAGTCTGCGCTTATTTTTTCTCCCCGATTTAATATTAACTGTTTTTTATCGTCTTATTTAATGGTGGTTGTTAAAATTGGATGATATTACATACATAATATGTTAGATTTAATCGGAGTACAAACTCTTAAATAGACATGGTACACATTAATTTATTGTGGACCACTAATGGTAGAATTACTATGGTCATTTTATTAATAAAAAAAAATCACTATGTTAAAAGACAAAAGCTAATGAGCGCCCCCGGGGCGTTAGATAAGAGAATTAAAGTGCAAATATTAGAGTAAAATTAACATTAATTACACCGAATGACGCGTGATTTTGTCATGAATTCCTAACTTAATACCATTTCAACTAATATAATTTATCCTTATCTAACGCCCCGAGGCGCTCGTTAGCAAGATCGTATTTAATATTAGGGTCATTATGTTCAATACAATGCCAGTTGCGCTGCACATGTTTAGTACTTCGGATCCACAATAATATATTATTGTGAACTAGGTCCACACAAGTTTTTCTGAAATCGGAGTATATGGTTACTTAAAAATTTACAACTGGGCAATAAAACGAATAAATGAGCACACAGTGTTAATTTTTTTTTTTTTTTTTTTGAAACAAGCACATATTGTTAAATAATGTGGTCAATGCCATGTTAGAAAAAAAAAAGATTGTGGTTCTCTAAACACAAAAAAAAAAAAAATTTAATTTAGAAATAAACTTCTATAAGATCGAGTTAATTTTTTTTTTAAAGAAATTTTGCATTTTAACAACACAAAAAAAACACTAAATTAATTTTCAACCCTACAAATAAAAAAGTTTAATTTAATACCACCAATATTTTAAAAAATTGGCTTTTACCATCCCTTAACTGATAAAAAATTATATATATATAAAAAAAACAAAAACCCTAAAGCTAACCTAGTCACCCACCCCCCACTGTCAACCCAACGCCGGCCGCGCGCAACCGCCACCGCCATTGCCTCACCCTAAACCCCCGTTTCCAGCCCCAACCACCGAAAACTTCGCCCCCTCCCTTTCCCCCTCCCCAAAACCGGCAGCTCTCCCCAACGGCCGGGGAGAGCTGTCGGTTTTGGGGAGGGGGAAAAGGAGGGGGAGGATCGGGAGTTTTCGGTGGCTGGGAACAGAAGTGTCAGGATGGGGCTTTGGTGGCGGCGAGCTGTCGGCGGTGGGGTTGGGTTTAGTTTAAGGGTTTTTGTTTTTTTTTCTAAACTAATAATATGGCAACACGTGGCACAATGGACCCTACTTACCGGAATTTTGGATGGCAAATAATAAGTGGTGGTATAATCAAATTTTTTTTAATTTTTGACGGTGTTAAAATAAAATAAAACTTTTTTTTTTTTTTGGTAATGTTAAAAACCATTTTAGTGTTTTTGAGGTGTTAAAAGTCAATTTTTTTTTTAATTTTGACAAAAAAAAATCAAATTTTTTTTTAATTTTTATTTATTTTTTTTAAAGAAGACTTTTCAATGGCTACAATAAAATTGTAGCCATTGTAATTATTTTCAATTTAGACCCTTTATTTACAAAAATCAATGTTGTCCATCCATTCAATTGACTTTAAAAATTATTTAAATATAAAATAAGCAAGGAAAAAAAAAACTGTTTTGCAGTTAATTTTTTTAATTAAAAAAAAAAAACAAAAACTGCTTGTTACAATCGAATCTCCATTGTTATTGAAGTTTCAGCGCAACGTTCAAATTGAGGATGCTAGTATTTTTGATGCAACTGAGGGAAGATGATCTGTATTTTTTAAAATTTTATTTTATTACTAATAGAATTGTATAGTCAAATAAATGAATGGCCATGATTTAATATTGCATATCAATGGTGCATATTTAAAAGTTACAATGGCTACAAAATTATTGTAGCCATTGCAAAACTGTCCATTTTTTAAAGAGGAAATATTATATCATCCAACTAAAAGAATTGGAACATTGCAGATGTATTCTACAAGTTTACAAATAATAAAGGCAAGTTTAAAGAATCATCAAGGAGCGATGAAAGGGGCATGCTAAGCTTGTATGAGGCTGCCCATTTAAGGATACATGATGAACACATTCTTGAGGAAGCCCTTACTTTCACCACCGATTTTCTTAACTCCATTTCAACATTCTCTGAGCAAGCTCGCCTCGCATTGAAGCAGCCCTTGCACCGTGGAAATCAAAGGTTACAATCACAACGATTCATTAACTTTTACGAGCAAGATTTTGAGTCTTGCGATGAAAAGCTTCTTCAACTCGCAAAGCTTGAATTCAACCGGTTGCAGTTGTTACATTGCCAAGAGTTGAGCCAAATCAAGGAGTTAGTAGCTAATCCATCTTTACATACGACCACTTAATTAACCCCAAATCTTGGCATGCCTTTAATTTATTACTTTATCCAATTTCTCCTAAAATTCCGCGCATGAAGAAATGGAGCAAGTATTTAAAAACGGAGGGAGTATAACAAAAGGAAAAGGCAATTAAGGCTATAATCTGAAGTGCCTTAAAGTCTAATTATTTTGATGATTTTGCCTATTTCACAGGTGGTGTACAAACTTAGATTTAGCAAGAAAATTTCCTTACATAAGGCAGAGATATGTTGAATCTCACTACATGTCAACTATTGTGTATTATGAACCTCAATATTCTTTTGCTAGAGTATTATTCGCCAAATTTTATGTTCTTCTCGGAGTATTGGATGACACATATGATGCATATGGAACTTTTGAGGAACTCGAGGGTCTCACCGATGCATTCGAAAGGTACTTTACATCTATACTTCATGTATGTGATTGAGATGAGTAGAATATATTTCGATCTAAAGAAGGGATGAAAATTATGTTTGATTTATTTACACGCATTTAAGTGTCTAGGGTTAGGATCCAATGAGAAGTTTCTTAAAATGAGAAGGATGAGAAGAGATGAATGTACATATATTTTAAACTAATTCAACTAATGTGCAAATTTGATTTTTGAGCTAATAAAAAAGTACAGTTCAATTTAAGTACATATATTTTAATGAGCTTTTCATTTGACCCTAAATTTAAGTACCTATATATGCAGGTGGGACTTGAATTCAATAGAAAAGTTTTCGCAAGATTATATGAATAACATGTACGAGTTTGTCATTAATACTTTGGACGATGTTGCCAAGGAGATGACTAGCATCGGAAAGCCATATGCGATTTATTTCGCAAAAGAACACGTAATATAACGCAATGCCTTACTATTTTGTCTATCATTTTGACACTTTTTTTTTTGTTTTTTTTTTTTGTTGTGTTCATGTCATAAGGTTAGTTCTCAACCTTTGTATTGTATATATGTACCGCGATTCAGGTGCAAAGATTGATAAGAAACTACTATACTGAGATCAAATGGATGAAATCAAGGTATGTGCCAACATTTGAGGAATACATGTTTAACGGGAGAAATACGTGTTGTATGCAAATACTCGGTACTCTTTCCTTGATGGGTATGGAAGAGGTCACGGAAACAAAACCATATATACAGTTACTGCAATATAACAAGGTGACCATAGCTTCCTCAAACATTGGCCGAGTCATGGATGACATGGCAACCGGCGAGGTAAGGCATCAATTCATCGCAATTTTGATGGTGGATAAGCGTCTGTTCTCATACGTTGAAATTCAGTTCAGTTTAGTTTAGCTCCTAATTTTCTTCTTTTATAAAATATTCATTTCAGTTCAGTTCAGTTCAGCTGGTTGAGTTGAGTTCAGTCAATAAGAACAGGCCCTAAGAGTGTATAGTGAGCAATAAATTCCATTCAAAAAACACAAGCGTTTTGTGTTAAAATACATGACTTTTTATGGGAAAAAAAAAATAGCATGGGTATGTTTTTGATTTATATAGCAAATTTTAAAATTAAAATAAGAGAATGTATCTCATTATTCTCATATTCTTTTTAGGATTATTTTTTGTGAGTAATTACCTTATATAATACAAATTTTGCAAATAACTACCTCATTAACTTTATTTTGAATATAACTGCCTTGTATATATATACAATTTGTGTTGTTAGCACTACCTTTAAACAAAAAACATCCAAATTTTCTTTAAATTTATTTAGGTCATTTTTGGCATAAAGGTGCATTGTGGTTAGCATGGAGTATTGATGGAATTTCTTCTTACATTGCTGACTTTGGTTCCATTTAACATTACTCATAACAGGCAGAGCTTGCTAGAGGTGTGCGCCTAGCGACAAGTGTGGAATGTTACATGAAGGATTATAACATGAGTAAGGAAGAAGTGTTACAAATATTCCAGAAAATTATTGATGATGCATGGAAGGATCTCGTAAATGAGGGGTTGCTAATCAACCAATGCCGTAACGACGACGACTATGATCACTTGTCCAAGCCTGTCTATGATCGAATACTTAACCTTGCTCGTGCAGCGGAGTCTTTCTACAAGTTTGGAGATGGCCTCACTTTTGTTAAAACCACAATCAAACAAGATATCGTCTCAACCTACGTTCCATAAAGTGGCAAATCCAATATGATGAGTTAGTTCCCTATTGGATTTTGAGAATAATCCATTATAATTCTGGGAAAAAAAAAATCTATTTACTGATTTACTATAACAATTGGGAAATTCGCTGTTTCTCATGGTTTCTCATAATGACATTTTCGTGAATAAATGAACAACTATTTTATTTGTGGGCTCCACAATTGAATAAAGTTGTTGGTTTATTTACGAAAATGTTTCTCACCATGAGAAATTGGGGCATCCTCGTAACAATTACACGCACAATAGGCTACATTGTAGTAAAGTTTAAATTGAAAGAAGGTAATCCAGGTATTGATGATGAAGACTTCGAGAGTTTGTTGTGCCTCTAGTTCATCAAGGGCTTTTGTGTAGGGGATGTTTGCATGGTTACTTGGCAACGTATGTAGCTGATGGAGTTACATGTTATTATTTCTTTGGTATTTTAATTTCAATTAATTGTGTACTTGTGAGGTTGGATTTTGTCAACCCTTGTTACGCATAAGTGTGAGTTGTTAGGGAGTTAGCTAGGTAGGAAATAAAAGTTATAAATATTATCTTATCTTCTAAGATAATATCTAGCAAATAGCAGTTGTAAATATTATCTTTATTCCAAGATAATATTTAGCTAGTATTGATCGAGTTTGGGTTGTTATGTTGTTAGGCCAGTATTTAAGCTGAATGTTGTACTCATTTATCATTCATTGAATAGAAAGAGGAAAAACAGTATTCCAGCCTTTTGTGTGTTAAGTAAAACACTTGACGATGGAAGGGAAGGGAATGAGGAGGAAGGGAAAAGAAATGAAAGGGAGGGGGAGGTGAGCTCCATTTTCCCTCCAAATTTGGAGGGATTATGCTTATTAAAAAGAGAGGGGAAATGGATCCCTCCATATCCTTTCCCTTCGTTCCCCCAATCCTTTACCCAAACAATAGAGTTTGTTCTCCTCCCTTTCTCTTCCCTTCTTTTCCCTCCATTTCCTTTTTATCCAAACAACTGTCTCGTACCAGGTTCTTGTGAATGGGAGTCTTACACCCTCCTTTCGACCACAATGTGGTCTTAGACAAGGTGATCCTCTGTCACCATATCTATTTGTTTAGTGTATGGAGGTGTTGTCGACCTCTCTTAGGCGGGCGGAAGAACATGCTTTGTTTTCTGGTATTCGTGTGTCTAGGGGCGGACCTTCGATTTCCCATCTGTTCTTTGCAGATGATTCACTGTTATTTTTCCAAGTTTCGCCCCAGGCGTGTGACAATGTCATGGCCATTCTTTCGATTTTTGCTCTGCTTCGGGTCAGATGATTAATCTTCAGAAGTCCTTTGTCAAGTTCAGCCCGAATACGCCTCAAGACTACCGTGATTTTTTAGCTCGCAGTCTTCGACTACAATCGAAGGCTTCTTTTGGTACTTATCTAGGTCTTCCTGTTGACCTTGGAAGGAGTAAAGTCGCGGAATTCAGGTTTCTAATTGACAAGGTTGCTAGCCGGTTGTCTGCTTTTTCTTCTCTTCGCTTGTCAGCAGCAGCGAAACTGGTTATCATAAATTCAGTTTTGATAGCATCGTTTAATCATATCTTGTCGGTTTTCAAGATTCTGTCTTCTGTAGCTTCTCAACTTGATAGCATGCTTTCCAACTTTTGGTGGAGATCGTCTGGTTCTCGGAAGGGTTTGGCGTTGCGCTCAGCATCTCTTCTTCATTTACCAAAAGGTTTGGGGGGTTTTGGTGTGCGCAACATTGCTTGCTTTAATTCAGCTATCCTTGCTGGTACAGGGTGGAGGATGATTCGAAACCTCAACTTTTGGTTTCTAGACTCATGTTTTCGAAGTACCCCTCTCTGCCAGTCAATCCGGAAGCTCGGATTTCTCGCCCCTCTTGGGGCTGTCGTGGGTTGCAGATGGCTCTTTCGGCTGTTTCTTCTGGTGTACGTTGGAAAGTGGGTAGAGGTGACAAGGTACACATAACAGCCAACAACTGGGCTCCTGGGGGTCCAGTGTTATTCAAGGATGGTTTATCTCAGTCGGATCTTCCGACTCATGTGTCTGGTATAATTGATCTGCGTTCTAACGCGTGGGAATCCTCGAGAGTCCATCGGTTTTTTGATAGTCCAACTGCCGTTAGGATCCTTAGTTTGGATCGTCCGCAGGAGCTTATGGATGATTTTGTATATTGGAAATTTACCAAGGATGGCTCCTTTTCTACGAAGTCTGCCTATGCTCTCTTACTTCAGCAGACTATCAGGAGTCCTCCTTTGGGGTCCTTGCCTACTCCCTGGTGGAAGAAATTTTGGGCGCTCCCCCTTCTTCCTAAATGGAAGATCTTTGGCTGGAAAATAATTCATGCTGGTATTCCGGTTGCCTCAGCTCTAGCTGTTCGCGGCGTTTCCGTGGATTCGACTTGCTACTTTTGTCGAAGGGAGCAGGAGACGATCAACCATTTGTTTCAAGACTGTGATTTCGTTACTCCTTTATGGGTTCGCAGCTCGTTTCATTTCAATAGTCAGGGTCTTCTTCATCTTCCCTTTCTCCAATGGTTTTCTGTTATGGTCTCGTTGTTAGCGACTGCTAAGGATTGGGAGAACTTGGTGCAATTTTTCTCCCTTCTTTGGGCTATATGGTTGTCCCGTAATAATGTACATTTTCGGCAACAAGCTGTCTCTCCCGATGATGTTTTGCTTCTTGCTTCTCAGTGGAATGTGTGGGGGAGGCAGGCTCAGGATTCTCACCTTCCTTCCTCTACTTTGGGTCCTAGCCCTAGGCCTGTTGGTTCGGGATTTGCTGCCACTCTTGCTGGGGACCCTACATCGGGGTTTGATATTTGTTTGATTTGCGATGGGTCTTGGTCATCCTCGGATAATTCGGCAGGTGCTGGTTGGGTTCTTCGTGATTGTGGTTCTCTTTCAGTCCGAGGAGGAGGGGCCCGTTCTTCTTTCTCTTCTTCAGCCTTACAGTCTGAGTTACAAGCTTGTTTTTGGGGGTTACGTAATGCATTTTCTCGTGGTTTTCGTAGGATTCTTATTTACTCGGGCTGTGAGCCTCTGTGTCGGATGTTAGCCCAACAAAAGAAAGATGAGGTTTCTTTATACTGGTTACTTCGGGATACTCGGGTTCTTTTGTCTACCTGTGCGGCTTGTAAAATTCTTAAGGTTCCTAGGGAATGGGTGTCTCTTGCACACTGGTTGGCTGGAAAGGCTCGTGCTCGGGAGTGTCTTTTTTGGTCTTTTTAGTCTATTGCTTATGTTTTCTTTTCTTTGTTCTCACTGTAAAAAAAAAAAAAAAAAAAAAAAAGAAAGTTGGTGGATTAAGCTTATGGTTGAGGCCCACGAATATGTTTTATACTCTATCAGTATTTCCTGTAAACAAATCAAGGTTAACCAATTAAACCTTAGCTAGTTTCTGGTGGATTTTCTTTATTTAATTAACATTTGTTCTTATTTCGATACATTGGAAATAAACTCATTAGATTACGCATCAGAAGGGAACTCAATCAATTAATTTATGTTTGCTCGGTTTGTGTACTAGGAGAGCATGCCTAGGAGGAAATACAAGACGATCAGCCTGATCGACTTGTGATGCACATCAGGTGGCATTTTATGTGAATACTTGACACGGGTTGGGGGATATGTGTAATTATACGGGGATGGGTCTCACACGATAGTTGTATACAAAAATTTGTTGACTAACGGTGAACTTAGTCAAACCAGTAACGTGAAGTCCTGCCGTTTTTGTAATTCACTTTCCTAATCTGAAATTCCCCCATTTTCATTTTGACCTATCTTCATCTTCTCCGACGATATCAAAATAAAAAATTTCCAATATTGATTGTTCATGATCAATTAAGCTGCCGTTTCATGCATTTGGGTTCGCTGACTGGAGGAAGTTATTAATTAAATTTCGCATTCAAATTGCAATTGGGATCACAACACTTCAATATCGAATGACGAAATAATCTACCCAGGTGGAATCACTGTAAGTACAACTTTATGATTGCAATGCAATGTTGTGGTGAATAATTGTTACAATTCCGAATAGAAATACCTGGTATTACGAGATAAAGTAATCTATGTTTGCTCGATGAACCTCAGATCTGAATGAGATGGGAAATGGGTAAACATTTGAAGTGAGAATATCCCCTATTTCATCATCCAAAACTAAAATGGATCGGCCATGAGATGTGAATGAAATCCTCTTAGAAATGGGATGACAATGGCGAACACTATTCAGCTAAACAATAAAGAAAAAGTAGCCAATTTGCCGTTACTTTATGATCCTAACGACGTTAATTGCTAGATGGTGGGCCCTGTTGGAGTTTTTACAATTCTAGTAATGCAAATCGGAGATTTACCAAGTGAGTGTGCAAGGAGTTGATGATGGAGTGGTGTGTCAAGCAAGTTAGTGAGTTGCGCGAGACCGAGCTAGCAATGGAGCTAGCGAGAGAGCTATAGATGGCATGGCAAGTAGACTACGCAAGGTCGAGCTAGCGTTAGAGCTGTAGCTCACATGGCATATGAGCTATTGCAAGTCCGAGCTATAGCTCGGATGGTAGCTCGTGTGGTCGCTCTGCTGATGGCAGGTGCGAGCTATAGCTCGCGTGCTAGCTCGCTGCGCTTGTTGCTTGCGGTAGGTGCGAGCTATAGCTCGCGTGCTAGCTCACTAGGATTGTTGCTTGCGGCAGGGCCGAGCGATAGCTCGCTCATATAAGAGCGAGAGCTCGGCCGCTCGTGGGCTTATCGTGGAGGCCTTGTTTGCTTCATTCATATCCTTTCCTTGTACACATATATATATACTCTCCTAAACCCTCAAAGAGTGATATATAGTTTTGTTATCTCTGGAAACCTAAACACAAAAACAAAAACCTACCCTTGAGATCTGAACAGTTCTTGAGTAATTCCACGCTTCGGGTTCGGGTACACGAATTACGAAGGAGAGTTGCGTTAAACTTGGGGGGCGTGCGTCATCAGGAAACCTGTACCGGTGGTGGCGTATTTCGCTTCTAAGGCAGTG